AAAACATGTTGCACCAGAGCAATTGTCCACAAGGTGTAGCTGTGACTCCACTACAGTGCAGTGTTTGAAGCACTTGTGTACACAAACCCACCCCCACCCAACATTCAGACTAGAATTACAACCACACAGGCTCCAGTGCACAGACACAAAGTCGAGCTCTAACTTTATAGTTTGAAGCATACATTTACCTTCAACACTGTAATTTTACAAATGTGTACTTCTAGGTTCGGGGAAACTGTTGTGTTTGTTTACAGTCATCTTTTATCGAAGTTCTCCATAGTGCATTTACTACAGCAGTAAAAGCACTTCATCGATGGTCCATCCAACGAGCCACAAAAACCTTCTGTCCATGAAGATTTAAAATCAAATATCCCAAACAAAACTTCAGAAATGTTGATACTAATATGTTAAAACTAATATACGGAGGAAGAAAACTATGACATAAGGTGTTTCAGTTTAAATGGGAAAATATTCTATTAGTTTTTTAAAAACTGATTCTTTGGTTGATAAGTGTATTTTTTTTTACATTTTTAGCAACAAACGCAGATACATTTACAAAACTAAACATGTAATGAATCTTGTTACCCAAAGGAGGTTTTTTGGCAGGGGGAGCACTTTATATTCACAGATAGACATACACAACTTCGTTGAGGCGTCAAATTCTATATAAAAGGGGGGGTTTCCTAATAATTTGCCTACAATGATACCGTGAAAGGAAACTATAACGTGTTTGTGAGAAGCCGAACAATCCCACTTATAGCAAATCGAGAGGTCAGACCTCAGGGCTAAATTTAACCCAGGCGCTGGTTTATAAACTTTCCCAGGATTTCAGTCCTGCAATTTAGTTTGGGATAAATAGGAGCTTGTTTTTTTGTACATATTCTAAAATACAGATTCCAACAGGATGTGCACCGTGCATCTTATTTAGAAGAGATAACATGTTTGCTGCATTGAAGTAATTCTAGATTATAATTTGGCGAGTATTGAACTAAAACTGTAAGCAGCTATACCGGGTCTGTCTGCAGACACTGAGCCCTTTGGGGAGATTATGGTGCCAATGTATTACTTTAGACGGTATAACTCTGCCAAACCAAGATTGGCAGCTAAGAATATATGCTCTCCAGAGTAATCCGAAGTCCGCTCAGCATCCCCGTTTCCTTAGAGAGTTTCCATTAAATCTACTTCACAGTTATAACGTCCTTTGTGTTTCTCCATATTTCAAATGTCTGTGTGAAGTAAACTCATCCACATGGGATACTCAGACAAGAGGGTGTTACTGCACAGGGGAGGTCAAGCCTACAACCCGGTGGTCAATATTGTGTCACTTATTGTCACAACACTGCAGTCGGCGTGTGTTTTGCTGTACTTGTCCGGGTGGACGGTTGTGACTCACAGATACTCTCGGGTCACCAAGTGGTTTCCTCGGCAAAGAAACAGCATCTTTCTGATATCATCGCACAGCAAAAAATAAGTGGTCCTGACATCACCAGGACTTCTGTTATCCCTTTTAATGTCACTCGGTCTTCCTCTTCAGTCAGAGAGCAGAGCGACTTAGACAATGACAGAGGCTCAACTCCTTTGCCTGTGTGATTCCAGACTAAACTCGTGATCCCGGTTTGTACTTAGACTAAAACCTGGAAAGGCTGTGTTTATAAAGGAGAGGTGTAGGATATTGGGAGCATTGCAACATAACACTCACAGAGCTTCCAAACACACTGGAAACTACAACTCTGCGAACGTAGCCAGCAATTATCATGGGCACATTTCTATTGTATCAATGCAAAGTTAGGATCATCTGTTCAAATATCTACAAATGCACTAAGAGTGCAAATAGTAGATCGACATGCTGGTAATTTACCTTGTGTGACTAAAGGGAAGATAACCGCTCTCCAAACGGTGGCAACAGAAAAGGGGAAATTAACCTGTTGATGTGAACATTGATCTCCAAGGAGTCAGCTTTGTTAAATACAGTAGTGTTGATCACTTTCCTTGTTCGCCCCAGGACACCAAACAGAAAGGGGGACATGTTGTGACTGCAATGAATATGGAGTATTTGTCCAGAATCCTTAATTTCAGAAGACGATTGGTGTTTTTTTTGAGATACTGGAACTAAAATAACTTTGTGCACAGTTCAACTTGCCTATTCTATAAATAAATAAAACGATCAAAACAAAGAGGAACTCTGCCAGGTTAATGCAAATTATTGCACTTAGCGGCTCAAACCTTTAAAATTGAGACATATGGGTCACACTGAATTGCTAATGGTTTGCAGTGCTGCACGAATTAATCTCTCTCTCACTGTCTATCTCCTTTGCCTTCTGCACCCCCCCCCCCCCCCCCCCCCCCCCCGAGGCAAGGGAGACAGTGAGAGCGAGAAATCTAATCGAGGGCTTTACCAAGTCACCCCAAATGTACACAGCGACAAAAAAGCAGGAAAGTACAGCAGTAAATGTTCTGTGTAGTGTTTGGGAGGGGGTGGGGGTGGGGGCTGTACAAAACAACGGTGCCTGTTGCAGCTTTACAATTTTTTTAGGGAAAAAAAGCAGGCACCATGTCGGCTGAGTCTGTTTTTATCAGACTCTACCCAGAACCCGCCTTTAATGTTCAACTCCTGGAGTCCATCACAAAGTGGGAGCAGACGCCAGTCTGACAAGGACAGAGCCTCTCAGCACAGCCACGACCTGCGACCCGCACACACACTGCAATGTCAGATTTCTTACATCAATCTAAACCCCCTCCAAACCTGAAAGGGGCGCTCCAATCCCACACACCACACCTCTGGGACTGCAAATAAAGCATCGCTTTGGGCGCCAATCTGAATTGGCAATTTCGCCACATCCACAAGATTTAGCGGCTCAAACCCTTAAAATTGCGATTTCTGTGTCTCACTGGATTGCTGATGGTGTTACTGTTGGCCAGTTCCTCAACTGCACATTTTTGCATGGATTGGAAAAAAATCACGTAGTAAGCAGTCAGTCAGTATGAACAAGGATTCGGAATAAATGCAGCATTAATTAATTAATAATTGGTTAAATCCTTCAGAATAGAGGTGCATTACTGCAGACCTCTCTGCCCAAAATAAAAGGGACGGATTTATAACAGTTTGAGACCACCGGTTTTAGACTGTGGAGAGAAAGGGATTAAGTGAGGCAAACAGAAGAGATTTGCCTGGGGAGAGCAGGGGGGGAAAAATTGTTTTATTTTGCAAGTCTTATAAGAGCTCTATTGTTTAAGCCTTTGCATAACTAAACGGAACAGCGAGGCATTGCTCCTTAAATTGCAGGCAATCGACAGGGGAGAGCTCTCCCCCTCCTGTTTCATGTGGGGTTTCTCTGGACAGGATTGGCTCGACTTAACCCCTTCAGGCTGCACCTCTCCCCCCCCCCCCACCCCCCAACCCCCGCTGAGTTTGGCACTGGGCTAAAGAGCGGTGACAGTTTCCAGCCAAATGGGCTGCCAGTGTGTTGCTTTTCAACCCCCTACGTGAAAATCCGGCAGCATGTGGGGACAGTGTGTTTTTTTTCTTGTAGATTGGCGGAGGGGGTGGGAGGGAGGTGGGGGGGGGGGGGGTTGTTGCGGGGGTGACAGGAAATAAGAGAGATTTGCACTGAAAAGAAATAGACGAAGGAGAGAGTGCAGAGAGAGGGAATGAGAACTGAGAAACCAATTCACTTCACAAAATGCGAAGTTAAAACAAAACACTGGTAAAGAGAGGAGAGTGCAATAAATAGACTGGACATCTATCACGGAGTGGGGTTGGGGGGGGGGGAGTCTGGCGGGGGGGAATGCCCCCTCCCATGGAGAGTGGAACAAAAAGAGTGGGAGAGCGAAAACTTTCTGGAATCAGGACGAATTTCAGAATGGGAAAGGTTTCAGGAGGGGATAGAGGGGGAGAGATCAGCAAAGATGGGTAAACCAGAGGGATGAGGGCGGCAGAGTGGGGAAAAGGGGGGGAGGGTAAAAAAAAAAGGGGGGGGGAAGCAAATGGTGATAAGGAAATAAAAAAAACACGTTGCATCTCAAAGTGTCTTACCCCAACAACAACCTCCCTGGCTCTTTGTGTTCCGTCCCCAGAGAAAGTTTCCCGAAATCCGCTCAGCTCAGCGCTTGTCCCAATATTTCTGCCTTCACTTCTGCAAACTTCTACCTTGTCCTTCGGTGTGTGTTACGCGATTCATCCGCATGGCAGAGCCTGCGCCCCAGCCTCCCGGTGTCTCCCCCCCCTCTCCGATCCCTCCCGGCCAGGGCAGGCAGCGCAGAATTCCCAGGGAGAGGGAGAGGGAGTGCGTAAAAAAAAAAAATACGCCCTGTATCCCGTCCGAAATTCCTTAAATCCCCGACGCGGGCACCCGATCGTCTCCACGTCCACCGCCAATGTGTTTGTCATTACAGCATTTGCGCAATGAAGCCATCAGCAGTCAGTCCAGGACTAAAGCAAATAGCCATCACACGCCCCTCTCTCCCCCCCCTCCCCACCCCTCCCCACCCACTCCCCACCCCCAACCCCCTCTTCCCCCACCCCCCAAAGGAAAACTATTTTTTTTTATTTGCCAGCAGCGACACCGACACTCGTGTTGCCATCAGTCCAGATATTCAATAGCAAAAAAAAATTTCTCCCAAACGATAACCGCAAACAAACAAAACGCATACACAAGTAAATAAATAAATAACTAAATGACCAACGAACTAAATAAATAAGACAATAAACAAACGCAGCAATCACAGCCCTCGAACAATTTTCTAACTCGTGTTCTTTTTTTTTAAAAAAAATAATTAACGCTGAGTGAAAAGTTGGGGGGGAAAGCCAACCGTTCTGTGGTCCTGGGGTGTATTTTTGTGCAAAAGGAATTATAAAGGCGACGCAGTCGACATGGTCTGGTTGCAATCTGGAGCTTTCGTAGTTGCTCTTTTTTTTAAAAAAAAGAAAAGCGAATTCCGTTATATTTCTTGACCCGAAAAAAATAGTGTTTCCCTGAAATGCAGATGGCTGTTTCCCTTACCTTGTGCGAAGTGGTTAATCCGCAAACTCCTGTGACGGGGAGAAGTGGGCACCTACACCTACAGCGCTTGGGCTGCGCTCTGATCTCTAATGGGCGCAAAGAACAGCGTCTTGTAATTGATTCAACGTTTCAGTCCATCCTTTCCAAAAAAACTAATCATCTGCTTTAAGTAAATAACTGTCAGGAAATGAAGCCCCTGCGTTGGCTTCACAATAAGAGTCGCCAGCACTCAATCACTGCCTGGAGTCCCACTGACTGCCAGGCTATATGCAGCTCTTATCCACACAGAGCATCCAGGGATCCCTCGCTCAGAAAATTGCCATATGTGTGTTTTTTTGGGGGAAAGTTTTACATGGAGTAAAATACTTTTCTTCTCCCTCGGAGAATGCGCCGTCAGGACCATTTCTCTTTTATGAATGAATTTAACCCTCAGCAGCGTCGAAATGGTGTCAAACTGCATTCCCTGCATCTCAGCACAGCCCAAACTTGTTGGGTAGCATTAGTTTGAGCCAACTGGAGGAATCTACGTGCAGTAGTGCATCGAATAAATGCACATTATATGGAGGGCGAACACAACAAAAAAAGTTTTTTTATTATTTTGCAAGCTGTAGAGGAAGCTGCCTTGGGTTTTGTGCGAGTTGGCAACCGCGCACACAATCGTTTTGCAGAATAAAATGTATACTTTTGAAAAAAAGATTAATGCATAGAAAAGTAAGAACCGGTTCTACGATTGTTTAAATATGTTGTGAAATAACCATTTTTGAGTATACGTACAGCAAAGCCTAACGGGGAGGCGGGGGAAATCCTTGCTATGTAGAGGAAAGGGCAATGGGGTGGAGTGGGGGGGGGGGGGGTCCAGTTTAGAGGTAATCCTAACAACCATCTCAGAGGAGGGGGACGCCGAGAGTGTGCGCTTGTTTGTTTTAAAGAAGATGCTCTCTATCTCACCCATTGCCTTACTTCACTATCGATGGAGCATCAAATAGTGGGGAGAGAGGCAAAGAGAGAGAGAGAGAGAGAGAGAGAGAGTACAGGAGAAACGTGATGAGATTAGATGCAAATGAGTGTGTAAGTGTATCCCTGGTCGGGCATTCTGCAGGTTTGATGGCTCTCTCCTTCCTTCCCTTTGGGTTGTTTCCCATCTTGCCTGCAGCCGCTCGCTGTAGTAATATATCTTCTGCGCTGTGAATGCACAGGCCAACTATTACTTCCACATGTGCTCCAGGAAATTATTGGAGGCAACGGCGAGGCCAATGTGAACAGCCTCTTGTTCTGGATGCGAACAGGATACCGTATTACCCCGAAAGAACTGGGCAAGAGTGCTCCGGTGACATTATCGAGGACGACAGACGTTGTTGTTTTTTGTTTAAACGGGACAATCTCACCACAGGCAGAGTAGGAGTAACTGAGTAACTGGACTATACGGATTAAGAGGTGGTCGAGGAATTGCAAAATGTAAAACTCGCTCTCTTTAGTCTCCCTGTGACTGTTGCTCCCCTCCTCTCTAAGTCTTTTCCTCTTTCTCTCTCTCTCTCTCTCTCCCCCCCCCCTCCCCTCCTCTCTCTCCCCCTCCTTTCTCTCTCCCCCTCCTCTCTCTCTTCCCCCCCCCTCTCTCTCTCCCCCTCCTCTCTCTCTCTCCCCCTCCTCTCTCTCTTCCCCCCCTCTCTCTCTCTCTCTCTCTCTCTCCCCCTCCTCTCTCTCTCTCCCCCTCCTCTCTCTCTTCCGCCCCCCCCTCTCTCTCCCCCTCCTTCTCTCTCTCTCTCTCTCTCTCTCCCCCTCCTCTCTCTCTCTTCCCCCCCTCTCTCTCTCTCCCCCTCCTCTCTCTCTCCCCTCCTCTCTCTCTCCCCTTCTCTCTCTCTCTCCCCCTCCTTCTCTCTCTCTCTCTCCCCCTCCTCTCTCTCTCCCCCTCCTTCTCTCTCTCTCCCCCTCCTTTCTCTCTTCCCCCCCTCTCTCTCTCCCCCCTCCCTCTCTCTCTCTCTCCCCCTCCTCTCTCTCTCCCCCCTCCTCTCTCTCTCCCCCCCCTCTCTCTCTCTCTCTCTCCCCCTCCTCTCTCTCTTCCCCCCCTCTCTCTCTCCCCCTCCTCTCTCTCTCTCCCCCTCCTCTCTCTCTCTCCTCTCCTCTCTCTGTATCTGTCTTTTTTTCCCAGTCTCACTCCTCATTGTCTCTGTTTACTCACAATTATCTGTTTCTTGTTCTCGCTCCTGGTCAGAATCTGAATGTTTACAGTTAAGAAGTCAACAGTCAGTCATTATCCCTATCTTTCTGAGTTGATTAGACTAAGCTTCTAATCGAGGAATAACTGGGGAAATGATTTTATAATAATAATTCTTGCATTTGATGTAGAGCTCTATCGCGTCTTCGAGACGTCTCGAAGCGCTTCACAGAATATGTAGAGTTGTAACAATCATTTGAATCACTCTGTGCGACTGCAGACATTTGGTGGATGGCCTGGCATCCAAGCGGTATAAATATAGTCTGAGGTCTATTTTCCCTATTAAGATAAAGCGGTTCCAAATGGGAAAGGGGAAAAAAAATCTGAAGACAAAGAGATCTGAGCTTTCAAATCCTACTCGCTATTTTCCAGACCCTACTCGAGATGTGGAGATAAACGAAACAGATGTACAGTAACACATCCCTTTACATAAACTGCCTTCTGCAATTAACTCTCAAAAACATTAAGCGCTGAATCAGCACATCTGCATACACATCTAATGGAGGCTCATTTCTGTCCCAGCCGCATGTGTTCTTCACTTTATCAGCCCAATCGATCCTTTTATACACGACGTCTGCAGAGAGCAAACATTTCCCTTCAGTCCACAACAATTCCACGATTTGGCATTTCATGTCATAACTGAAAGAACTCCCCCCCCCCCCCCCCCCCACACACACACTTTTCCCCCAAACTATTATTTTGCCCATTGCAGTGACAAACGCCTTATAGGGGATGAAATCCTTTGATGTGCATCTGCAAAACTAAAATTATCTCTCAAGAGCAGCGCAGCAGATATCAAAGAGCCATCCTGTTTATCAGTTGCAGTGCAGCCAAAGAGCAGAGAGAGAGGGAGAGAGGGAGAGGGAGGGAGAGAGAGGGAGAGACAGGCCGATGCTGTCAGTCACTCGCAGAGTGAGGAATGAGCCCCGGGCCCATTGCACCGATCAAACTGTAATTACCAGCCTCCCTCCAGTAATCCCCGTCTTGAGGTCGTTAACAAACATTTAGGAAAAAAACGTTGCCTTGTGTGGCCAGTTAGTTAGTTGAGGGTTCTGGTCTGAAGGTTTGCAGGGCATTGCTTGTGGAAACCAAGTGAGTGCTGTGCGTGAAATGTCATTACTTCTCACTTTACGGCTGATTCTACTTAATTGAATTTTCTCTCTGTCACTAACAGTTTATTAGCCAAACATCGGCGTGAGACAGTCAATACTGCAGATTAATAAATAGGTCCCGCGTCATCAACATCTGGAGACATAATTTACAGAATCTAATTCCCCAAATAATTCTCTGGTTCCGACATTGAGTTTCTTGTTAAAGTGACCTGTGGACATGGTTTTAAAACACTCTGTAAACTTGCTGAACGCGTTTCCTTTTTTTCACGAGCTCGTTCCTCCCGAAAAGAAAGGTTCCGTTAAGTTGAGAGGATAAATCTTGCTTGGGGAACCTTTCTGCCCTGAAAACTAGGAGTGGGGGGGTAAAAATCCTGAAAAATGCCCAGGAATGCTGTGTGGTCCTAATGGGAAAATAAGGTAAGAGAGATGTCCTTTCCAAATTGAAAAAAAAGCCAGTTTGTTTGTTTGTTTGTTTTCTTTCTTATCTGGGGGATGTGTCTGATAGAAAGCGTTAAAACGCACACCATATGTGTCCCTGGAAAGCTTACTGGGTGGGGGTCCCAATGCCATCTCTTCCTGTGACACAGAGGAGATATGCCAAACACACACACACTGCAGACAGACAGACAGACAGACAGACAGAGTTAAACTCAAGGTACGCCATTGATAACCAACCCCACTGCTAATCATTCCAGATGTATGTGTGTGTGCAGTCACATCCCAAACTGGAAGCTCTGACCCACGTCCCAGCCCCAGTACAAGTGATGCTTTGCTTTGATTGAGTTTGGTGCTGTGTGGACCGCCCACCACCCCATGCAGCGAGCGCTATCCGTCTTTCTGCAGACAGACAATTTGCTCCATATAAATAATGACCTTTGGGTGACTTTTATTTTCATTAAAAGCCGCTCGGTTTGTTTACAGCTATGCAGTCAGACCCCGAATGAAGGCGGGACACAGCCCCGGGTCTGTGATGTGTGTGTGTGTTTTTTTTCAGTTTGTGAATTGCACTGTAAACCAGTGGTTTCTTCTCTGGGAATCGAAGGGGCTTTTGATCCCGTCTTTAACTCTCGGTTTATGAGTTCGTGTTCGCCCAGGCTTATAATTGACAACAAATAACTCGCTTGCTCAATTGTTTCCACCGGGCGATCTTTGCTTTATGATCATAAACCGTGGATTTGCAGAGACTTGTTAGCTGGCGGGTATCTGTTTGCAATTAAGCGTTGGACACTATTGTTCTGTACCAGTCTGGGCTCATTGCCTCAAGAAAGGGTTTGATCAATGGCATCCAACCAATTCATTTGTCCCCTGTTAGTTATTCACCCAACCCCACCCCCTCACACACACATACACACAGAACCACCCCCATCTATTTGGTTATCTCCTGGTCCTTTCTGTCAGACCCAACTTGCTTTTTGGCCCACTAAATGTACACTCAATTCAGTTTACAGCATATTCTGTGAAGCACTTTGAGACGTCTCGGCGATGCGATGTAATGCACTACATCAAATTTAAGGATTCTTTTTATTATTATTATTATTATTTCTCCACGGATTTCGAAATTTGGTGCCTGTCATAATTATTTAACAATAGATAACCATTGATTTCCCGCCAATACTTTTAAGTCACAAAGACACTGCCCCGAAAGACACAGCTCCATTAAAAAGCACCACAATGGTTTAATATTGGAATACATCTGGTGTCAGTGGGAAGGTTTATTCACATAATTGAGTAA